GGTATGGATAATACGGTCTGATTTTGATCGGCATTTATATCAATTTGTTAAATGTATAAAAGTAGTTATAGCGACGTAACTACAATAGTTAGATATATTCGCTCGCGCGATGTTTTTTGTAGATATTGATATATTCTATAATATTGTCGAACATTTTTTTGTCCTATCATTAATACTCTTCGCAGCGTATGCGATGTAAGGCATTTTATGGCTAATTTTTTTACACCTCCCATTGCTTTTAATAGAAATTTCTAAAGATTTCTATCGTAATGTAGTACTAAGTATAGTCTATTTTATTCAATGATAATGTAGCCGTCTAATGAAAAAAGAATTATTATAATCGGTCCAGTACTCTTTGAGTTTACCCGTTACATACAAAAATACAAATCTTTTCTCTTTATAATATTAGTATAGATATAGATAAAACATACAAGCATACAATATATTGAAATTTACCAACCTGTCAAAAAGTGTTTCTGGTTGCCATGGCAACCTTCGAAGTTAACGTAATGCGAGTTGGCATAGAACCAAAATCTTCTCAATAAATCAAATATTCATTTGTTTTTTCAAATATTTGTCCTCATTATCTTTTCAACATACATGAAATTCCTTACACTTTGTTGTGTATTAATATTTTTTGAAATGGACAAACATTAAATATTACTGTTAAAAGATTCCTTAATATCAATGTGTATTTCCAATTAATAAAAAGGCCACTAGCTTAGCAAAATATATAATGGAATTAAAACAAAACGCATTTAACGGCTTTAAACACGAAGTATGCTATTTAACTTATTTTGTCGCTGAGAGCCGTGAATATGGCTACTGAAAAGCTTGCGTGACGCCGTGCATTTATTAAAAAAAAACATACAGTAACTAATATATTTCGCGTTTTACATCGTTAAAGGTGTTTTATTTCAATGTTTAATCCACGTGTATACGACAGACAATACATTATTTAAGTTATGTATCGGTTATTGTATGTACACAAAGTTTAGGACATCGGTAGGTACGCAAATTTTATATATCTATTTTTTTAACGTATTTTAGTATGAATGTGAGTACATATAAGAGTATATACACAATTTTGACAATATTTTAAATGCCTACCTACATCGTAATGTAGCAAAAATAGGCAATACAAAAGTTTTTAGCATTGATCCTTAAAGCAGCAACCGTCGCGCATAGCATTTTCAACCTTCACAAATGAAATTGTTCGAAAAGTTCTATACAATATGAATTCTCGTTAACATGAATAACCAACAAATTAAACTCGGGAACATTCCCATCCGAAGCAATACGTCAAACTAATCGTAAACAGCTGGTAACTTAAAGTTCGCGGCACAAATGTAAGCAGCTGTCGCTAGTACAAATGTGAAAAGCAAACAAGACGCATGCGCAAGGCCGCGGCGATATTCTCCTAACAATGGGATATTTTAAACGGAGCGTAACGCATATGTAATTGACGCCTTTCAATAGTTCAATTTCAAGGCGAGAGTTTTTAATCTGTGGCGATTAGTTGGAGCTACGCTGTGGAATTCTTATCATCTGTAATATTTTTATTACATTCGTTAATTTCAATAGAAAACACTTTTAACTGTTTAAAACGTGAAATGTTTAAGTTAAGTTATTTACAGTCTATTTTAAATACGGCCCGACGTTTCGGATGCTTTGCAGCAGCCGACTGAAGATCTGAGGGTATCCGCAATGTCAAAGTTAAAAATCCGCTACGCTAGCGCCATCTGTTTCCTCGTAGTTGGTGTTTGAAACTAGCTGGTTCCAAACAATTGACTAATAGTGTCTCTCGTTTCGCGGTATATTGTTTTTTTTCAACAGATGGTAGATTTAGGCCAACATCCCAAGAACACGGCAATGGTCACTGTCACTTAATGACGCTAGTCGGTAATGCTTATCAACCCGTTCTGTGTCGTGGGCTCTAAGTATTAAAACTCTTTTCCCATAAAAAACACTAGGCCGAGCTGTATTAATAGTTTGAAACGGTTAGTGTTGTGGATAGTAATATGTAATAATTAAAAAATTTCCCGATTTAAGCCGTTTAAAGCGTTTTACTTCTAACGTATTTTATTTTTAAAAATTAGTACAGGTTTTATCGTTTTTTTATTAATTGGAAATACTCATTGGGTTGAATTGTAAATAAGTATTTTTATATATCTACTTAAATGTTTTGATAACTCAAGATACAAAATAACCTGTTATTAACTCATATAAACTAAAGTAGTTCTTGAACGCTCGAAACACCCTTCACTATACTTGAACTGCAATAATCCGATACAAACTTCACATAACAACAATTATAGTCTAGCTCTCCATGCTTGCATGTTGATATCAAACTACAGATAACGTTTCTGCAATGCCGGGTACTCACTAGCGAGCTGTAACAGTAACTTGTAAGCAATGATGTGTTACGCTAGGGGGACAGACAAGTATGGGACTCACTGGACGGTAAGTGGATATTTTAGCTGGCTTATTCGGAAATTCACAGATTGAAACCGACACGCGATTGAACTTCACGGCTTTTTCATTTGTGGAGGGTAGTTCGGGACCCGGATGGAATGTCGGTATTCCTACCAACCATTTAATATCCATTTAAATAAAACACTTTAACGGTTTAAAACGCGATATATTTGTTAAACTTATTTGAAAATGATTTTTAACTTCGGCCCCGTGACCACGGCTGCTGTAAAGCATCCGAAACGTCGGGCCGAAGATAAAAATCATTTTCAAATAAGTTTAACTATTATATCGCGTTTTAAACCGTTAGTGTTTAATTTAAATGTGTACTACTCGCGTAAACTATAGACAGTATCTCATTTAATATCCAGATTTCCAGACGACGTCCAACATGTTTCTGAAAAATTTAAAATTTGTTGGACCCGGTTTATTATTCGCCACACATTGGTATGCCATTAGGCCAATGAGCCCATTAATATAAGAATTGCAATATTGCAACCACTCATTTAATATCCAGATTTCCAAAAGTCCAACGTATTTCAGGAAAATTATAAATTGATTAGAAACATGTTGGACCTCGTGGGGGTCGAAAATAATTAAGAGAAATCATCAAAAGAATTAATGTTTCTTAGACTTCAAACCAAAGAACTCGCTTAACAATGTACATTACCATATATTTTTTTTACATAGCTACTTGCTACGATTGTTGTTGTCTAGTGAGTACCTGGCAGCTAAGCAAATACAGATTGTAAATCTTAAAGCAACCGATACTAATGACGTGTCAGATAAAATACCGAATGCGTGACGTAGAAATTGATACAGAAAGGAATTTTTACTTATCACGACGCAATATTATGTAAATTCGACTTTTTGACCTTCAAAACTTTAAAATCGGACAACAGATTGATATAACAAATAATTTTCAAACGAAGGCCGTAGCCGACAACGTATCTTAATCAAAGGTATAAAGCCTAACTCATCAACTTTTTGCAAATCCAGTCGGGTACGTTGCACAAAAGTATCTGACTACCAAGATCATATGCCGCCCATTTGTGGAGGGTTTTCATTTGACCTGGAGGGAAGTTCGTACCCGGATGAACAGTTAATATCCTTAATATCCAGACGAAGTCCAACATGTTTCAGAAAAATTAGAAACATGTGGAACCCGATGGGAATGGAGCCAGCCCACTACACTTTGGTTATAAGCCATATATTGGACCAACCGTTAGAGCCCGTCAATATATCCTTCAGTCCTCCCTCACACATTTGCTTTAATAATATCCCTTTATATACAAATATTGATAGGGGAAATGAATCTAACTCAAGCTTTAAACCTCCGAGCATTTCTGATGATTAAGATAGACAAATTGACACGCTAATCCAGTCGGATGCTTTAGTAAAATCACAAAAAGAATATTTGGTATATTTTAAAATGTAAATTATATATCAAGTTAACATGACGCTTGTTCAACTTGTGAGACATTAATTGGACACAGATTTCCGTTGGATCTAGTAACGACACTCAACTTTATAATGTTCCTGAAACTTTAAATGCGTGGTAGAACAAAGATAAAAAAGCTTGCCGTGAAGCTTAATCGCGTTTCGGTTTTAGTCTGGATTTCCGAATATCCAACGCCAAGACAGGTCGAAAACGCATCTTGATTACTTGATTTACATTGGAACGACAAACAGCAATACCAAGTTTCTGTCTTTATCTGGAAAGTCGCTGTAACTTTAGTTTAGTGTCGAAGCGCGCTCGGAGATTCACACAATACTTACATTTTTACGTAAGCGATAACAATACTGTTTTATTATCTTTATATTGTGATTGATAATCTGTTTCATTTTATACAAAAAGTATGAGAGAATCAGCATAAAACCGCGTGACGTATTGCAGTGTGACGCGATATCTTGTAATTTTGTGGCAAAGATTAAAAATCAGCTACATAATTAGACGTACATCCTAAGTACGTAACCTAATAAAGATTTTTAACTAAGTTTAACTAATATATCGCGTTTTAAACCGTTACTTAAATGTGTACTGCTCGCGTAAACTATAGACAGTATTTAAGATTCATTATGTTTTGACCTGTGTTTAGTCATTTTTATTTCAGCTTGTACTGTTTAAGTTACCCAACTCCGAAATCACAAACTAAGTAGAATTTTACGTCGTTAAAATGTTTATGGACAAATATGTAGTTTAAAAATAGGCGTCTTAAATTTATAAAACATTAGAGTTAAGCAGACTTTTCTTTTTGAAAGCTATTTAATATGAAAGTATAATTGACGTTAAAAAAAGTGTGGCAGCTAAATAAAATATAAAATGAATATTAACTCATCCTCTACTTATATTTATTTATAAATACAACTGTGTATATTATTCACTTTTTAGCGTCTAGACACTTCCTCGAAGAAAGTAGCACCCAAAATTCTTTTTTTTATAAATAATCAAATCTTCAGAAATACCAACAATAAGTATTAATAAAAAAACAAGAAAGTACCCTCAAAAAGTTAATTTTGTCCTGCAGTCGTACGAGCGCGCTAACTTGGCAGATGCCCTTTTGCCTCGCACCCTGATTGACGGCGAGCTGATCATCCGGCAGGGAGACACCGCAGACGGCATGTACTTCGTGGAAGATGGCTCCATCAGCATCCGTATCGCTCGCGACGATGGAAATGAGCATGAGATCAAACGCCTCGGTAAGTTTAAAAATAATATTTGGCGCTTAGGACTTGGTCCTTCCGTACTCTATCAGACAGTTCCTTAGAAGTTCAAACCCACCTACAAGATTCCCAAAAGATCTTTTCTTTTTATAGTTTCTTTTAATCATAAAAGTTTTTCCCATTTATTAAAAAGCAGCTCTTCAAAACAGGTAATTTTAGATGACCCAGTTCTAAGTAAAAGAATTAGAAGTTTATAAACTATAATTTTGTATTTGCCTAACAATTTAACAACTAGTGTTGTCACTATTCGTGTATTGAATCGCTATAGAATTTTTGGTTTGGTGGTATTTAAATAAATGATTTCTTAATTAGGACTTCTTTTTAATTATTTTTTTTATAAGTCATAATTGTGACTTTTTATCATAAAATTCGTGTTTTAAACCATTCATGTGTATTTTTTAACTAATAGCTCTAGCGACAATAAAAGATCTATACCTATTTATAAATCTTATCGTTATTATATTAAACAATTTTGTAAACATCAACATATAATCTCAAAGGGCGATCTTCGTTCTCTGTCGAAAATTGCGTTTGTTTATTCGAGACTTGAAGTAAACCCCCGAGAGATGGGCAAGATTAATATTGTTTTAGCTCTAAGATTGAAGATTATAGCATTGTTCTCCGTGTTGCACCTCTTTGGGTGTGTCCGCAGAAAATTGAAGATTGGAACTAACAATGATTTTATTATAACGGGTAGGCAATGTAATTAAAAAAAACAACAATACAAGTATGTAAATTCCCTTTTCTCTCTATTGGGAGACACACTTTTGAGTCTATTCCATTCAGCCATTACATTCTAGAATTTTGCAAATAAATTTAGAATAAATAATTGTTAAACTCAAACCATTTATTTCACAAGGCAAAGAATATAATAGTATGAACTTAAATATTAGCTTTGTAACTACATAAAAATTTTATTTAATTATTTAATAAACAAAAGCGATAAAGAAAAATAAACTAAGGAGAGTGCTTGTGACATGGGAGAAAGCAGTCGGCATGTGCTTCACCGCCCAAGAAGTAGAGAAGCGCCGGTTTTTGGAGCCCCCCTCGGGGAGATGTGACCAAGAACTACAAACTTTAAAGTGCTAAAAAAACGTTATATGTTAGTGTATGTACTACACATATACCTTTTTTTGTATTTCTTCCTTCAATTATCCTAAACGTATTCATTTTACAGGAAAGGGCGATTACTTCGGTGAGCTGGCTCTAGTGACCCACAAGCCGCGAGCCGCGTCAGCTTACGCCATTGGACCGACTAAGGTTGCTTGTAAGTACAATTATTACCGAGGTCGACCTTCGTCCGAGCTCTAAAACACTTCGAGGAATGCCCGAGGCGATACAATATTGACAGAGGACAGGAAGACATTAAATTACCACATGCTAATGGTCGTTTGACGTGGGCACACTTTCGAACATAATATGGGGCCGCTAGACGCGGAGTAGCCTAACTTCAATTTTATGACTTAGTTCTTTATATTTTCATGGTCTAAAAATGTTAATCTACAAGAGCACAGTGACCGAAATTGTTAACATAATTCTTACGCAAATAATAGAATCAATTTCGCCTAAGATAATGAGAATTTATTGATAATCACGTTTTTATTATTAGGCCAATCTGTCTCTAGCCAAATCTATTTAGGGTGCCAGGCGTATCACATTTTAGAGGTTATTTGCAAAATTTCATTTAAATCAGCCTAGTAGTTTAGAAGCAGGAATTCATTTTGATGTTAACAAAAAATACAAGATTATTCGATAACGTTCGACTAAGTACTTAAAGAATCGCGATCATTATTGACAACTGCAAAATTGCCGAAATGAGTTTTTTATTTTGGACATTGCTCTATTACAATGAGAATTGCACAAAATATAATGTAATAAACTGGCGACAACCTGTACGATATATAACTATACATAAAAAATACCACAAAAATAATAACTGCATTATTACTTCCCATTTTTACCTGGGACACTTTTTACGAAGAAGGACAAGAACATCAATATATAATACTAGAGCCATATCCAAATAAGATGTGCCTATTGACTTATTTTGATCTTGGACATTCGGAAATCTACAAATTGAAAGTGAAACTACGCGATTAAACTGGAAGGCATTTTTATCTGTGGACGGTGTTTCTGCGATTGGAATTTCGATATTCCCACCACCAGAGTTACCAGACATAATATCTCCAACATTTTTTCAGAAAAAATATAAATTTACTGACACAAAACGACACAGAACCCATACATTATCACACATACCATTATGAGCTTGCCAAACTATATAATTGGAGCTTTACCTGTCTCTCACCCTAGAACTATGCCAGTGTAGCGATATCTTTTGTATTTTTCCAGTTCTGGACGTGGAGACATTTGAGCGGCTCCTCGGCCCGTGCATGGAGATAATGAAACGCAACATTGACGACTACGAGGAGCAGCTCGTCAAGCTCTTCGGGGACAAGAGCAACCTGACCGATGTGCGATGAACTGCCCCCAAGCCCCAGTCCGCCGCCTCCCTGCGCTCCAATCCTCACCCCCATGCCGGGGCTCGAAACCGGGTTTAACCGTGAAAATCTTACTTTTCTATCTCCCTTTTGACTCAACGTAATTGGTCATAAATTGAATAATACTTAATTACTTCAAAATACGCAGAATCCACATACAACAAAAACTCCGGTTAAAACCAGAGTGATATGTTTATTTATTTGGTTTCACACAAAGAACTAAATCGGTTTCAATAACAACCGGCGTTCGAGCCCCGCTACGTCTACACCTATTCTACAAGGGTCTCTTTCTGAAAACTATTCAATGTTTTGGTTCTTTCGTTTCGGTTTCTCGAACGACTTGTTAACTTATTTTATGATTTCCAGGGAGTTATACGCGAAATTAATGAGAATTTATTTTTCACAGATTTCAAGCATTTCCGATCTCGATTTGATATAACAGTATTTCATAAAGTTAGCTATAACAAATTTCAATAGATATTTGTTACTGTTGTATAGTGCCACAAATATTGCACGAGGGAGGTGCGTGCTATCAATCGGCAAATAGTACTGCATTCGGTCGGCGATACGCTTATTTTAGATAGAAAATGCCTTAGTAGATGTGTAATGATACATTGGAATGTCGATTGGGCTTTGTAATTGTGGTACAACACGTGCCATACCACTCACGCTCCTTTACAGTGCCACTCTGATCTAACCCTCGGCGTCTTGACCACCGCCATAATTGCGAACACCCAATACATTCATTACAGCTACACAATTCTAGGCAAGTCCTTAACATAAATTCTATTAGATGCCGCTGCAGTACTATTTAGCGAGACAACCCATTCTACTTAGGTACTCGTTAAAAGCTACCGCCATTTCTAATTTTAAGACGTTTTTCACTGACACTGGCTTCGTAACTACAAAATTTACCTACAAGTAGGTTCGATAACGATTAGACTTAATCCGTGATCAGATGAAATCTTTTCACTAAAATTAAAATAATTTCTATTTATTTATACATTCATTTTATTCGAATGATTATGAAATTGTATGTATATTGAGAACGTTTGCAATCAGATATGAATTAAATGCCAAATTAAAGTTAATGGTGTGAACGCGTCGTGGCGTCTCGCTCTGGCGCTGTGAATTTTGTCCGGTTGGAAAGAGACGCCATGATTATGTTAACTTTGTAACATCCGCGTGTTGTAATTTATTGCGAATTTTTGTTGGTTTCGAGGAACAGACACGCTGTTTCTTCCAGAAGTACATTTTTTTTGAATAGATTCTCTTACAAAATCGTCAGTAGTTAGTAAAAATCCTTTTTGGTCGCACGTTCGCTGGCGCGTTTGTGTTCCTCGTGCCGATGTTTTAAGTAGCAAGTTTTTGAATTATGCTTACTCGTTCTAACACTTGCATTTTTACTGGAAAAGAAGGAGCAAGCAATAGATTTTATGCTCTCAGCGTAAATGATATGTCGTCGCTTCGGAATATATTTATATTTTGCAGATTTTTTTATTGGGAAGTATTTTTTGTTAAGAAGAAGTTTGGGTGAAATTTTATGTTGAACGCTTTTATCCGTTGTTCCTGAGGTTTTCCTAACATTTTATATAGATCTGAGGTGTTCTTGCCGGCCCGGTCACTTGATAATTATTGATCAGCTGTTAGGAACGACGAAGGTACTTTCTGTTCAGACAGTTGGTCCTACAGCTGCATTAACGGTAGTCTACGTCGATCTTATTCAATATAAAAGGGTTATAAATTACGCTTAAAAATCTTGTATAAAAAATGTGGGTAGACACATTTTCTACTTGGTATATGTCTACATACCTAAAGTGTACCTCGAGTTGCAAACAAGCGGACCTATCACTAACATTTCATCGTTAGTCATAGGTCCGCTTCACCACCGATTTCTCTGACTACCCTCAGGTAAGGTACCCAGTATTAATTTATCAAAATCCCCGTGAGTCCAGCCAAAGTAGAAGAACGCATAAAGATCGTGTTTACATAATTAAGTCTATGTACTATGTGGTAGTTAGTTTTTATCACTTCTTATTGTAATTTAAATATTATTAGATTAGGAAATTGTATGTAGTTAGTCCTGGGGGGTGTAATGTTTGTTTGTTGATCGAAGCCATAACGCGTGTACAAATATTTTCAGTTGCCATAGTTTGTTTTGTTTCTCAGTTTAACGCATTATAATGTTGTTTAATTATTATTGTTATTCAGTTTTATTTGTTAACCTGTAAATTGATGTATTTTCACACTTGCTGCTGATATAAATGAATTTGAATCACAGCTGCTGTTTAAATTTACGATAAATGTAACAAATAATGGAAAAGAAAACAAACATTGTCAGCAAGTGTAGAAATAGTTAATAGTGCTCATAGGTTGCTTACATTCCCATTTGCTTCATTTATGCGTTCTCCGAGTGAGTGGGGGGGGGGGGGGGGGGTTCACCACTCCTCCAATTGCTGTCGAGATTATTTTTGCGGTATTGTCGCTTCAAGTGCCTGTCTCACATACCTGGTCCTATATCGACTGTCTCGAACTTGTATTTAAACTGCCTTCTTCGTGTGTGTGACGAGTGACTGTGCGGTAGTTGACTTATTTCGATTATTACGAGTTCCATGCCATGCTTGATATTTCTTATGTTTCATTAGTAACCATAATTATGTCAAATAGCTTTCGTGACACCACAACAAGTCGACTAAGCAATAAGCCTTCTATTTCTAAACGATCAATTTATTTAACCGCGTTTCCTATGCAACATGTACCTTGTTCAAAACACGTAAAAATAGTTACTGATCTATAATATTTATTGGACATCAAGCGTGGTCTATTAATATATATATATCAGAATATTATTTATACCTAACATAGCGTATATTTATATAAATCACAGACGTCCGGAGGTAATGCGCGTGCGATTGTGTCTCTTCGTTGTACTCGGTATCTCTGTTTCTACGTTGTACAGGTGCGGCGAATGTCCATCTTTCGTACCCAGTAGGAGTCGTGCAATAAACCGTTTGTATCATCAGTGTCGACTTATATAGGACATATTCTCTTTATATACAGATTATCTCGCGTTCCAATCCATCGGACGTTTCGGAGTGGAAGCACAAATTTGTTGTAAGACTCGTGGACTTGTCTTCCAGCGGGACGCACAGCTTTCCAACAGGCGTTGTCTAAAGTAACGATACGCTTAAAGTAGCGTAAATTTTTATAAATTACTAGTCATCGGTGTCTAAGTAGGGTATAACCGTGCACGTATTGGCCGTTTCATACACGCTAGATGTAAGATCATGTCCCACTGAAGCATATCAACTGAATCCATTTCCCAAATCTAATTGCGCACGAGCATCTGAAACGGGTGTGAACTAGTACCGCTTTACCACGTCATGAGCTTACCCTGTACATTTATAAATTATGTATCGTAAAATGTTAGAAAACTGAATTATATTTGTTTGTAGATCTAGTGCGTTTTTCATTTCATTGCCCCCCGTTCTCAATATTTTGTTCTGTGTTAAGGTCATCAACTCCATATTGGTAAAATATTCAATTTAGATCTTAACAGAAAGTTTGCCAATTTAAGGTATTTTTTTCTTAAATATTGTCTATTTGAATGGTTTAAATCTAAATTCTCAAGCTAAGAGAGGGTTGTGACAAAATACTTCTAACAGAATGGAAAATTAGACGCTTCCAATACTAAGATATCTATTTTCTTGCAAAATCTTAAATTTCGAGCTATGGACATAAATTTGATTTATAGATTAATAATAGTTTTGTAAAACTTGAGAAATTATTTTACCCTATTTTGCTCAAAACAAAACAGGAAATAGACACACTATTTAAAAAGTCATTTATAATTTTAATTACTTATGCATTACATAAATCTAATAGTATTTAACTAAATTTAAAACTATATTGGTTCAGGTTCTCTACTGTAGACCTGCATAATCTTCTCCATTATTTCCCAATTCTTTTCCTTTAGTAAATCCTTTGTGAATAACTGGAAATTAAAAGAAGTGTTTATTTTTATAATGCTAAAACAAAATTTAAGTCTTCTATCTATATATCTAATCTACTTCTTATTGCCATGTTGCTATTTCGGTAAAGTGATAAAGTTTCTTTCATTTATTTAATTACCCCTATACAGTCTTAAATGCATTCTGACCTAGCATTGCATTAAGGGGTCCATCCATCTTAGTAATAAGATAGAAAAAGATCTATTAGTTACTAAAGCAAACCATAGAAGCACCCACTTGTATATATTAAATATCATTTAATAAAACATCTAAATGTGGCTACCCTATGAAAAGTTTATGGCTACTCAGGACAAACAGAATTTTACTTTAATAGTGGAACACAAAAATACTCACCGAATACCATGCAGTATCATCATCCGCTATAGATGCCAGAGGCACCGAAACTCCTAAAACGTGAAGAGCCAGGGTCAAACATGCTACAGCGGTATGTGGTGCTCTATAATCCAAAACATGTGGTGAATGGTGAAAGTCCTGCAGGAACGCCATGGCAGTTCGTGCTACAGGGGTTGACCGCCATTGCGAAGCGGGAAACCACTCTTGGAGTGAACGCAGATAGTGTAAAAGATACTTATGTGGTGAGGGTGTCTCTAGATTGAAGCCGAGGAGGCGAAGCACTAGTAACTCCGCTTGAGCCACGGCACCTCTCCACGACCAATATTCATCTCCTAATTCCAAAGGTCCTGCGCCGCGATTAATAGAATTATGCGCAACATTGACGGCGTCTCTCGGTCTGACCGGCTCGTCTCGCGACTTGCCGGCTACGCACAAGCAAGCCGTACATATCACGTAACAATCGTAATCGTTCTTATCGGCTTCCTTGAAGAATTTATGGTAAAATATCGCCGCTGTAGCGATAGTCGCCGGTTGTAATCCTAACTTTATCCCGCACTCGAAAATGAAATTCGTAGCCAAACTGTGACTCGGTGCACTACGATAATCGGGCAATCGCTTTTCACGTCTGTTATTTTGCAACGCCAACACATCGATTACGTCCTTCATTATTTATGGGTAAATAACAAAATGGTTTATTGTTTGTTGAATGTTTACTGTTTTCTTGGGTTAGGTTAGAATAAAATGACAGCTATTAACAATAATGTCTGTGCTGTGTTGTCCATAGATAATGTCACTAGTTAATTTTACTTTGTACCACAGACTCGTTGAAGTCTGGCAACTAAAATGTATAGTATATAATATTTTAAGTAATCTATAATAATGTTGTATTCTAAAAAGATAAGAGGATTCTAAATAGATAGCAGAATGTAAAAAGCATGTTGAATTAAACGAATTTCGGGAATCCATATCGAGTCGAGCAACAGTTTTCAACCAATCACGAGTCGCTTTCTCAGGCGCAAACGCCGCGCTCGTTTGACTAATTTAAATTGCGATCAGTATATCTATATTGTTGAAAAAGAGTTAGTTAACGACGATGGTTAAGTGCTTAAACGATGGAGAAACACAGTGCATAGAAGACTGGACGAAAACCAACCACATGCTTTTTCTCCATTGTCGTCAACGGATTCTACGCGGGCTGACGGCGAGTCTTCCGATTGCGTCAGATCACATCAGAGAAGCCTTAAAATCATGAAAAATATGAGCGTTAAAAACTTCTGTATATTATAGCATACATTACCTACCGATTTTATATATTTTACTATATGCTACGTGTGTGTTTATTCGGAGCCGCCTCGGGTTCTAACAATTATTTGTAGATAGTAGTATAATTATAATTATTCCGGCAAACTACCGTCAAGATCCATTGTCCGAGAAGTTTAACGAAACTCACTTGAATAAACCAAAAACATATCTTAGTAGTATATAGTGGTAGATATGCTTAATTTTGCCTTGCTTTCAGGAAGACTCTCCAATACGACGAACTTTTGCTAATCTCGCTTGAAAACTTTTCTTAGATAGCTGCGACCTTCTTCTTCTAGGTATATTGCTATGAAGGGTATTTATTTTAAATCAGAGAAATTAAGAATAATAAACTAATAATAATACAAAAGAAAATATTCAAGTTCAAAGCGACAGTTCTGAAAAGAATCTTGACAAACATTATGCTGTACTACTAAACTAGTATTATGCCACAACCCTCTCTTTTAGTTGTGATTCCTTAATACTAAAAAACTAATGCTACTAACTAGCTTTGAAAAGAACTTTTTAAGTGAAGCATAAACATGTTAAAAAAAAGTCGAAATATTAAAATATGTCGTTCGCGCCCCTGCTAAGGAGACCACTGCCCCTCCATCGTCGAATTAGTTATTCGGATATAAATGGTAATTTTGATCGGCGTTTATATCAATTTGTTAAATGTAAAAAAGTAGTTATAGCGACGTAATTACAATAGTTAGACATATGCTCTCGCGATGTTTTTTGTAGATATTGATAGATTCTATAATATTGTCGAACATTTTTTGTCCTATCATTATACTTTTCGCAGCGTATGCGAAGAAAGACATTTACGGCAAATTTTCTTACGCCTTCCGTTGGCTTTAGTAAGAATCTATATAGATGCCTATAGTAATCAAGTACTAAATAGCCTATGTTACTCAGTGATAATGTAGCTTTCCAATGAAAAAAGAATTATTAAAATCGGTCCAGTACTTTTTGAGTTTATCCGTTACATACAAAAATACAAATCTTTCCTCTTCATAATATTAGTATAGATGAAGTCGAACTATGATATGAATGATTTAAATATGAATTTAAAAAGTTAACTTTGTTAATATGCGTAAAAATTACCGTCGAACAATACATTTTATAATAGTTGCCTTAAAAAAGGTTTTTATTTGTTTGGAGCACCCATTACAAAGTAACGGCAGTATTAAACGGCGTACTATTCCTATCTCTCTTAAAAAAGGTGGATATTTCTTCAAACTTTCGTCGTTCTTCTTTGTTTCAATAGCAGATTTCAGCAACCAATTTTCAATGTGAAATGCCCGATTTCTTTTGTTTTATCAAAGATTTTTAAAGCTTTCAATAATTTTCTTTTACCGACCTTTTTTACAGTAAAGATAAGATAATGAAATTAAATTTGACCCATACATTCTTCCACACACGTCAGATCAGCATAGGAGGTTACTTATTACCGTTTTTTTTGCAAATAAAAAAATATATTATCTAAAAAGTAATGTTTACATAAGGCCCTATACTAGCATTCCATGTCCCGGGTGAGTAGTTAGTCATCAACTATTACATACATGTGATGTAGGATTCATATATGGGATATAGGATTTTATATCATTTAGGTATCAATTCATGTCAAGTTCAGTGCCCGCTGTTTCTTCCTTTCACATAAACTTCTGCGCCTTAAGCATTTCATACACTTACTGTGTTGTAGAATATAAAATTATTTTAAAGTCGACATTAGATTAAAAATCAGGGTGTTATAAGGCTGGGTAGACTATGTTTATTACAAATCATTATTGACACCGTAATTATGTTAGGATATTCGGCATAACTTAAGACACAACATAACTAAAGGTCCTTGTCTTAAAGGTCCTGGCATAGTGTACAACGCCTCGTATTACACTTACGATACAAATAAAGGCGGACTTTTGCTCTCTTAAACAATATCAAATTATATATCACAAGCTATCATCCACCGAAAACCTCCTAGTCGTGTGGTTGATGTCGGGTGGCAAAATATCTTAATTTTATAAAACCCTCTATTTAATATTATTTTCTTTCAAGGACACCTATAGGAGCGTGGGTGACCAGTCCACATCGTCTGTTAACCATTACACCCAAATCCCTTTTCCATAGCGAGTGTTAGGAAACCCCCCCTTCTAAAATGTTATAGTTATTCCGAGACTCTTGTTATCTTAAGTCATCTTATTATTATGTAAATTTAGTGAAAATGTTGGTGTTTTTGAACTCATTATAGCTTTTCCCAATAAGAAAGAAGGAACAGGTATTAAAATGAAACAAGCATAAATATTTGAACATAAAAATTAGAATATAATCATTTTCAGTAATTATTTAAAATTATACACTTAAAGTACATTTATAGTAAATTCAATAAAAAATACCAGTGCAGATGAGATACAAAAAGAGAAAATATTGTTTAATTACATCGTTGGTTAAATACATCGCTCTCAATAAATGCAATACAAAAGAAATAATCGTAAACTAAAGTCACTCGATATAGAAAAATAAAGATAAGATTGAATCACATTCAAATATTACCCACTAGTGACTAAAAACATTTGTTCAATTTACCGAGGAGCCACGACGAAGGATCGGCCTAACAGCGGGCCTCGTATGCGCTAGAAGTATGCTGACAATTCTAAGAGTTCATCGTACTCCGATGAGTACCGTTATAAGATTATACCGACACGGAGGCCACACCTCCGCCCTTACCCAATGACGAGTTACAACATTAAGGAATTACACGATGACGTGAGCTTAATTTGGCAAATATGAACAAGCGATGATCTGTGACTCGATTGAAACACGATACACCTACACCGAACGTACCTATGCACACAGTTATTCAATTAATTTGTAAAATAAAGCGTTAGAACTCTTGAGCGGGCAAAAGTCAGTCTTCACACGAGAAGCGCGTATCTATAGGTTGTAAATTTGAGCTTTACTTCGAATGTGGGTAGTCTGCGATTTGATGATACCGAGGGTAGTTTCGAGTTCGTGTGCGTATCCTGAGTCTTACGGCTAAAAAAACTGTCCGAGCGAGCAGTGTACAAAAAATTTACATCACATTCACTCGAAATAAGCATGCACGATAAGCGGCGGAGGAACATCGGACTCGCCCGACGGAAGTCCTCGACAGCGCCATCTAATGTCACGAAGCTTAAACATATTACATTTCGGATCGAATGTATAACTGCGCTAATTATAATTATTAGTTTTGTTTTACATACACATATTGTTAATGAACAGTAAAAAACCTACCTAGCAACAAGCGAGCGTCGGCGCTCGGCGCGCGGGCCACCCGACCTGGTTCGATAGAAACGATTGGGGGGGTGGGGGTGGGGGGTCGAACGCTACGAAAAATAGTCTGCATCGCTAGTATTAGTACGGAAAGGTAGATGAATCTTTGGTACCGACGGAGTGGCCCGCGCGGTCGCACGTAGGCGTACTTCCATTACTTTTTACATAATCAATAAACACAAAACGAAATGAACCACCTAACTATGACGATAGTAAAGGTTACCTTCTAATTGCATTATTAATTAATGTTTATTGATACAGTTACTGTACTAACGCTTAAAAGTAAGATTTCTCATTATTATTAATAATAAATTATGTTATATAGTATAATATATATAAAGGATCAAACGCCACTCCGCGAGTGTATCATGTTTATATACTCACATATCTTACATTTGCCGTGAACGGGGCCGGGGGTCGCCGGAGATCGCCGTCGGCGCGGGCCACCGACCATAAAAGACCGTCGCCACTTACTAAATTAAAAGTTCCGCTACACGAACCTTTACGCTAGATAAAATAAATACCTTAAACGATTTTACAATTGATTACAAAGAGTTGATCTTAATCGGCTACGTCTTATTTACTGTAAAGTGATATAGAAAAAATATGAACACAAATTATATTAAAACGTCCATCGTATATAAATGATTAATGCTCGTATAGGAATAAACATTTGTGCTAACGTGACTAACTTAAATAGAGCCGACCTGCTGCGGCGTGTGCGTCGAAAAGTTTATAAAAAAATAAATTATCTCATTGTGACCGAGGCGAACGCTAAATGGAATGATAGTTGTAGTAGGCCTGTCGTGAATTCAGCTAAATATTGGTTCCTTTCTGCTATTTGGTCCGTAAGAGAGTGAGTATATAAGCGTTCGGTTTGCGAACATAATCGCGACTCACTGTTACATCAGTTCGCGTCCATCGGGGGCGCTGGGTCGGCCGTTTCGAGATGAAGTGATATTCAATAGGTCGATAGCGCATCTTGTTTAGATGTTATATGGGGGTATTTCACTTCCCATTAAGGGTCACCCCATGCTTGTCTGTCCCCTTCT